GGCAAGGAAGGTTTGGACGTTTTAAGTTCGAATCTTCTTTACTCCTTGCAAGAACTTCTTTCTGACTTTTTGATATCGGTTCTGCGCCTACACGTGAACACCGCGTAGTCGAACTCATTGAACTTTTCTTGTATGGCTTTTCATGCGTTGGGATTCGCTTCAAGACAATCTTCAATCTCAAGGGAAAACTCTTCTTGTACAGTAGTCAGAGTCCGTATCATTGCCCGGGCCGTGTGAAACCAAGCAGCTGCTTCATCTGAACCTTTCATCTGCATGAAGAACTGAGCAGGACTTTGGTGAATGTTTGAACTCAACGGATGCCGCATTTGAAGAGTAGGCGCAGTTGAAGGGCCGAGTGCAATAGATTGAAAGACAGGAACAATAGTATCGTTCATGGAGGCTCCAACGGTTCTTTACGCAGCCGGTGTCTCTTATCGAAATACTCTTTCCCTGTCTCTCTCGTCCGCCTCCGATGAGCCCGCGCCTCTTCAAGATCTTCATTTCTTCTTTCGATTGCTCGCGCTCTCATTACCTCCAGTTCATATGGTGTGAAGCCAGTGCTGGCCATGACTGTCGTTCGATCCGCCCAAAGCACAGCATGAAGGCACCACCCAGTCTTTTCAAGCTGGATGTTTGCTGGTTCTAGCCAGGGCATCCGCGGCCGCTCCATGTCCCACCTCAACCAACCCGTTAGCCTGAGGATGGTATGCAGAGATTACCACCCTCTTGGTGCTATACTTCTCCATCAAATCCTTATTCTCAGGACCACCGTTCCAACAGCTCATTGGAGGCAGTCAAACCTTCATCGGTCCCGAGGGAAGAAAACTCCGAGAGCGTTCCACTCCCTATCTGTACGGTCCAAGCGCAGGCCTTCGCGCCGAGTTGAAATGGATCAACCCCTGATCATGCCACGGCTTCAGACTAGACCAGGTGGATCGGATGTGTCCTGCTGCCTCACATGCAAAGCAGGTGGGCGACCTTTGCATTGGTGGCCCGCGACAACCACCGCCAGCAGGAACCATCTGCCCCGTCACGTGACCGTACAACTCTGACCCAACAGCACGTGCGCTCCCTTGCTTGATACCCTTCATTCTGCCTCGACTGCAATTATTCAGCGATCTGCTGCAGCAACCGTTCAGTCTTCTATTGCTCCGTGCGTATTGGCAGGACAAGCTTCTGTAACCTTTTGAGAGAGATCCTCCTCATAGTCTGCCGGAAAAGTAGCCGACCGCGACTTGACCTTCTCTTTTGTATAGGGATTGCGATCTACATAATAGAGGCTCTACTCGGCTCGAACATGTCAAGAGCTACGAGGAACGTGTGCATAACTACTTTGGGCCAGCAGAAGATGAGCCGCAAAAGAGCGATCGCAAGTGCAAGTGCAAGCGGGAGGAACAACCCAAAGAACAGCCGATCAAGAGGCGCAAGAGAAAAAAGATGAGATACATCAAACCAGAGGTTACACAGATCAAGGAAGAGGTTGAATGAACAGCTTAGTCAAAGAATGTTCCGTGGTTTTCTTCTCTGGACCCTCCAAGACAGACGCATCGTCCAGCCAAAAACAAAAGAAAAGAGAAAATGAAACCCATCGCCAATTTTCCGTCAGACTGCTCTTCCGCAAGAAATTCGTGTCACCGCCAATGGTGACTTTTGGTTCCATTCCACCAAGATTGCCGCGAGACACACCGTTGTCGTCGAGCTTCCTCTAATCTTTTGCTCTCAACTTCGGTTTCTTTATCGCCAACTTTGGTTTGGGTTTGACGGCCGGGGCTTTGGTGTCGCGCTCGGAGGCCGGGGGGATGGTGACGAAGATACACATAGAGTTCTCCGCAAGGCTAGGTAACTTGGCCAAGTCTTCCTGCAGAATCCATCAGCATTCGGGGGCCCTTCTCATCTCACAACCTGAACGAACGTAGGTCGCTCCTGTGGGAGAGATGCAGGCAAGTACTTACGACGCCTTTGGGGGGGGCCCAGTGCTTGACTATCGGTCCGTTGACCCACTCGATATCGGGACTGAGACCCTCGGCCGGTCCTTTCAGACCCACCTCCGCATGCAGACCCAGTTTACCGAGGACGGCGTGCATTGACGCGTCGGTGCCCCTGAGAGAAGCCATGGCAAAACCGGCGGGCCAGTCGCTGATGAGCTGGTTTTGAGCCTTGCCGCTGTCCGCGAGGTTCGAGACCCCAATTGGGTATGCATGAGCGCAGTGGATGCCCAGCATCCCGCCTGCACGCAAAACAATCAGCCAACATCGTCGCCCGGGGGGCAGCTAGCGTGCCTTCCTTGCCGGAGCGCCTTTTTGTACCCAGGAGGGCTGCTAGGGGTATATATATCCCAGGCATAGGGTTCTTGACTTACCGTCTGGCATCCACTTCGGGTCTCTGAGAAGGTCTTGTAGAATGTTGTATGGCGCAAGGCTTGTAAAGTCCATCGGCGCCGGCTTGAGGCCCAGTCCTTGAAGAGGGTCTTTTTCACCGCCGGGAATGAATGGAATTCGTCGATCGTGGTACAGGTTGTAAGTCACGATCACGCAGTAGCCGCCGGTGACCTCGGAGATCTCGTGTTCGCAGTCGCTGAGAAAGGCTGCCCAGTGCAGGGCCTGAGATTTTCTTGCCCCAACACAGTCGTACTTTGTGGAAGAACCGGCGTGGTTCACGGTGAGCTGACCGCCCTCATACTCGCTCGGCAGGAATAGAACCAGCGACCCGAACTGGTTCTCGGCGCCGGGAATCTCGAATCGGATCTTGGAGGAGCCCGGGTGTCCGACGTACACCTACCCAGAACGCGTATAGTTAGCCGCGACCCTCAAACGTTCATTTACCACCTTACTCACGTTGATCTGGTGTAGCTCGGCCCTGACAAAGCCTCCGTTCTTGATGCCATTGGGCCCCATGTGGCGGGCATTGGGCAGCAAAAGATGCTCGGCCCGATCCACGATTCCCATCGAGTACGGACATAGGTTGGTCGTAACGCGGAGAGCGTTCAGGGTCCAGGCGTCATCCGCACCTTCGCCGTACCCATCATCGCCTGGCTTTCCAAGCACGATGGGCTCACAGTGCTCCAAAAAGCCCTCGATTGTCATCGTGCTGTCTATCTCGCTGTCCGGCGGGATCGGGAACATCACCCTGTTCGACCAGCCGCCGTGGTCTTCCCAGTCGATTACGATGGGGCTGGGGTCCATTCTTGTGGTCCTTGTGGTCGTCGGGGTCGACATGCTCCCCCTCTTGCCCTTTTTCTTCGGCCCTTTTTCTGTGTCATCGGCCTGGCTCGAAGGCTTTCCTTCCACGCGTGAGACCAAAGCGGCGAAATCAGACAGAGGAATGGAGCCGCCGCAAGTCGCGGCAATGTTTGATCCCGATTTCATGAAGTTGGCCAAGGCATTGGAAAGATCGGCAGTGGAGGGATCAGCTGTATCAGCTGCCGAGGGGACGATGGATTCGGTCGGGGGGGTCTTGGGTACGACAGCTGCGGCCTTTGCTGGACGCTTTCTTTTAGAAGGCATGGTCCTTCGGCCCAGTGCGGTGTCAAAAAAAAAAAAAAATTTGAAAACAAAATGAAGGGTATACTGTAAGAGTAAGAGGTAGGCTGGAAGGGAGGAATGAAAAGTGTTCCTCGCCGACTTGGGCGGAGATGCACGTCTGTAAATACGACAGGGCCAGGCACTTGAGCTTGTGTAACATTTCCATAGGATGTGTACTATGACTAGGTAGGGCATTGTTTACCTGCTGCACCCTTGGTGTTGACGGTTGCCTTGTGCGGCGGCCACATGTGGCTGGCAAGGTTGATAAATTAAACACAAAAGGTGGGTGTCTTGAAAGCAGCAACCAGAATCCCAATCATTTTGGCCCCGGAGCCTGCAGTGCGGGTCTTCATGCCTGAAGAGTTAGCCCCAAGTGTCGCGTGGCATAAGCACTAAGCACTGTGTGCCGTTCCACAGACCCCACTGGTCGCCTTTCAAGCAAGGGTAGGTTGGGAAACGGATGCTACTTGGATATACGCTAGAGCTGCAGTCACAGGGCGGAGCACCCGTGGCACGTGCGTATTGGCTCCTTTCGAGCTAGGGTGCGTTTCAACACAGGGACAACGCCATCACGACGAGCGAATAGGAAACCATCGGGGGTCGGAAAGCCTTGGGTCCGCGACCCACAAATTGTGGACCTACTTGGTGCCTTGAGCGAATAAGACGCGTCCACGTTTCTGCCTTGGGCATGATTTTTCTGCCACTTGGCAGGTTGACTTAGGTACCTTTCCCACAGCTCGAGCCTGAGGTTGTGACACGGAATTTCGTCCTAGGCTTTGAGCACAGCAACACAGACCATCAATCGCGAGCCTGTTTTCCACCTCGGTGCTTTTGTAGCATAGAGCGGTATCACTACCCCTTGGAGGTTGAGTGGTTTTTGGTGCATCGAGGTGTACATCGAGCACGGACTAGGGCTCGCTCCTTTTTACACGACCCGCCATGGTCCTACTTCCAAGTCTTGGTCTGGAGCTCTCACGATACACGACATCGTCGGGCAGCGAACCTTGTTCCTCTTGTTGAGCTGCAGGGATCCTTTGTGTGTCTGGCCTGGCGTTGAACCAGCATTGTACAGCGTTGTCTGGCTGGGTCGCTCTGTGACTAGGCATTCGTCGTATGGAGGACAGCGGCCAGGGGGTAAAGGGCTGAAGGAGGGCCGAAGTAGTGATGTTCGCAACCTCCTCATACGGTGGTGGCGGACGTGGGAGCGACTTTTGTTGGCGGAATAATTTAATTAATTAGGTGAGGAAATCTATCTAGTGTGGCTGCGGATTTGTTGTGTGCCAAGGTGGAAATTATTCGGCCAACCTTGCCGATAGGGTTAGGGCAGCGCTGCGCCCACACTTACATAAGCCTTCTGAATAATGCATGGCCAGGTGCAAAGGGGGTGGAATTTACGAGATGAACCTTCGGGGTGTGGGTGTGCGCGGAGGCAACTGTGTGTTGATGGTGTGTGTATTGAGAGACAGTCCAAAGCCACTACTAGCTCAGGCGCTTCTCCAAGGAAGCCGGATCCCAGCGCTTCGGATATTTATGGAACATGTTCCACATGGACGGGAAGAAGCGCATCCTCTCCGTCTCTTCCCAGTCGTCGGCCAATTCGGAGTCAATCGTGTCCCACAGCTCATCCCAGTCCATCCACATCAAGCCAATGTGCTTGTGCGGTTTCATGATCTGGCGACGACCGTTTGGGTCAGTATTTCCGTTCTCTGTGCAAGGGGAAATCATTCACGACGAACCTTGGGTTCCTGCTCCGGATCGACTTGTTCCAGGACAAAGAAGAAGCGCCGCCACTGGTCGTCCTCCAAATAGTCATCGGTCTCGCCCCACACCGTCTCGTCTCCGATGTGCTTGATGGCCACCTTCAGGCCGACCTCCTCTTGGATATGGCGCACAACCGCCTTCTCTGGGGTTTCGTCCTCGTCCACGCCACCGCCCGGGAAGGCCCAAGTCTCTGTGAATTGGCCAGTTAGCTCAAACGGGTCCGACCGCGACCATGTGTGGTTCGTTTTGGGAGGTGTTGGGATTCTTTGCAACGTACCGTAAGGACCGTCTGTTTTGATATTCTGGATCAGCAGGACCTTGTCGCCGTTCAGAACAATGCCCATGGTGCCCATCATGGCCTTCTTGCCATACGTGAGGGTCGTGACGGTTATGGCTTCAGGCATTGTGAGCTTGGATCTGAGAGACGTTCGCGTTTCAGGGGATTTGTCCGACAAGTGGATGACAGTGTAAGAGAAGCCTGCAGAGGCTGATAGATAGGTCGATAGGAGGAATAAATCAAGGCTAGGTGGCTATCGCCTTTATATACGGAGACTCGAAGCCTCTTCAAGGAGTCGAGGACTGTGCGAGGGCGCACAGCTACTTATCCGCCCCGTTCGGGTGCGCCCAATCCTTGGCTAATTTGCCCTGCTTGGAGGCCTAACAGGCAGCGACAGGCGTGGGCCGTTGTACGTGCCACTCGGGCGCTCTGAGCGGCCAATAGGCTCCCTGTGAATCAGCCTGTGAATCAGCCTCACTAATCCTTCCGAGTCTTGGAACCAATTACGTCTTTGCTACATGCAAGTCTCGACAGGCAGCAGCCTGCGTATGCGACACGTGCTGAAGCGCGATTGGCCACATGAAGGCGCCGGTGGCGAGACAGCTGATCAACCAGGTAGCAGCAACGAATAACAACGCGGTAGGAGCCCTGCGGCGTGGAACCAGGAAGAAATTTGCCAGGAGTAAGGTGCCCAACGCCCCAGTCCTAGGGGTTGACTCTGAGCCGACAAAACACCCTCCTTCTTCGACCGCTTCGTGGCGGGAACTTTCGGTCGGAACTCAGCACTCGACTACAACTTGAGCTCGCATCTATATCTACAACATTTTTACGGCATGGCGCTCGGCGAGGTAAGCCGGGCGTGTGCGTCAGAGCAGACGCGTAGGACGACAAGGAGAAGGCGGTGTGAAGAGTGGAGGATTTCTGCCTGAGGCGTTGATTGGAATGTCAGCAACATGGGGCGCCTGAAAAGCCGAGACTATTGGAGTGTTAGCTATTGCCTTTGGTAACTACTCCTATGTACTGTTACGCCGCAATCAAGTCTTGTCCACCAGCGTATGGTCCTCGAGATGCGTATCATGGCTCGGTCACTTGTGATTCTTGCGCCACAGCAAGGTCGTGCGCTGGAGGTAACACTGCAACAACCAGGTCATGCTCGAGGTAACCAGATATCTGTTCCCAGCCCACATACTACTGCTGGTACAATTGCCGTACGAACAGTTGCGAGATGGGGCTCGCGCCGCTCTCTTTCTGTAAGGAAGCCTAGCTGTATTAGAAGCATCGGTGAATAGCCAACCTAGTAATAAGGAGGACAAATCTAAGGAGGGAAACAAAGGAGGAACAACGCCCCCTCTCACTCTATCTCTTTATATCGTACGCTCAACTGTAAGGGGTACCCGTTGTCTCACCTCTCTCCCTTGCCTCCCTCTTCTGAGTACGCCATCCATCCCTTGCGTACGGAATATTATTCCTCCGCCACACGTGACCGTTAAGCTCGGCGCTGGTTCCTCAGGGTTCAACCCGCCACAGATCTCCCCCGTTCAGCCGAGCAGTAATCAGGCTGAAGGTGAAGTAACCTTGACTCGGGAGCCCCTAGAGTAGTGTAGTGTGAATATTGTGAACTCTTACTTGCGCCCTCTTGCCCTGCTCTTGTAGGTGATTGACCGACGGCGATATTGACAATCGATCACCCTGTTCGGCACCACTGCACTGTCGACTCTTGGTTCTGTATGCGCGTGGAGCAAGACCATTAAAGGTGCCTCGATCGTAGTAGGACAGGCGAGGTCTTTCACTTTTCTTTGAGGAAAGGCTGGCCGTGTTGGATGGAATCTCTGCGACTGCGACTGCGAATGCGGATGGTGGAAAGGTTGACAGACAGAGTTGAACTTTCTGCGGTGGGAGAGCGGCGCTGCAATGGAGTGACGAAATTGGCGTATTTCACGCGGAGCCAGGTTGAAGACAACCAAGCCAAACATGACTGTTGCAGAAGATGTCAATGTAGAGTTCGTGGTCCAGAGTATCACGGCCTGCGCACTTGACGCAGTAGACTACCCCGCCCGAGGCTGGGCATCCCACACGAGGCTGATCACTCACATACAGCACCCTAGCAAAAATATCCGTCCACCCCCACCCCACCAGATGTTTTCACCCTTACCACCTCTATAACAAGTAGCCACCACACACTCAATTTATGAGATAATTTAATAC